ACGGGCCAACTCCTTTTTGCATAATTTTTTTTTTTAAATGACCATTAATGACATTTAAATATCTCACAGCGTGAAAGCCATTAAAGTATTCTTCTGTAAAATGTAACAGGCTCATTTCAGTCAGCTCGGTAGCTGGAAGGACAGATCACAGCCTGCAGCAGTTTAATGTCTGCAACATGGAGTAACTAAACAAGCACCTGGATGTTTGACCACTTTGATTATTCACTGGAAAAAACTTCAAAAATTTTGGCTTTAAGTTGTGCTGCTTTGAGTGGGTCTAAATTTTTTTGGCTGGTGTTTTTAAAGCAGAGCTTAAATGTGATCATCAGCCCTGAAAATCTGACGTTGACACTCCAGTACTCAAAAATACTGGAATAGAAAAACAGTTCTTCAGCAGCAAAAACTCAAATCCTCCAACATGTCACCAAGATCATCCTAAAAAAAATAAATAAATCACAAATGTCATGAAAATATAAATAAAATAATGTTTATTTCCAAGAGGCATAAAAAAGCCACAACTTGATAAGCAAAGCGTGCCTGTTATCATCAACATGAACATCACAGCAGGTTTCCTCTCTGGACTCTCTGATTAGTTTATTTCTATATAAAACCAAAAAAAAGGGATCAAACGACGACATCTAAACCGTCTGTGAGGTTAAAAAAAACAAAAACTGAAAATGATTAATCCCCAGTGTCAAAGACACATTTTCAGAGACAAAGAGAGGCTGCACAAACTTAACCCAAAACCAGAACTACCCATTCATTGTTCCCCTTACCCCCCACCCCACAGCCCCGTCACTGCTTCTGCTGCATGGCTTCTTTCCGTGCAGCGTCCTGCAGCAGCTGAGTGTCCACTTCGTCTGCCGGCAGCTGAACGTAACGGACCACCGATCCACGGATGAAGCAGTTTTTCACAGACAGCTGCAGCAAATGAAAACAGTGTGAAGACAGACAGCAGTCACTCTGTGCTGGAGCTGCTGGTGAGCTTTAAGGAGTGCACATTCAAGGACTTTCCTAATGTCCGAACTCTGATTTTATGCAACTTTTAAATAAGGAGCTAAAGTTTATACTTATGTTCTTGATGCTGTATTATAATAACAACAACACGGGGAAAAATATCTAACTTTCGTTTTTCCTCTTGACCTTATTAAAAACTGAGCAGCAGCAAATGGAGCTCACATACATGATGAAAACAAAGCTTTGTGTATAATAGATGAAAAACATAATCAATGTAAAAGATATTTGTGTAACTCGGGAGGAGCTGTTGTCTGTGTGTCTTTTTTGGGGGGATAATTGAGCCCCTAATTATTTATCATGCATCATTCTGTGTGGAAAACAGAAGTCTGGTGCAAATTTTCACCGCTGGAATATTCATCGAATCAAAAGATTCATCAGGTAGAAAGGCAGCATCTCTACATTCTCACATACAGCAGCAGAGAATGTAATTTCTTTTACTGGTTGTACAGACCTCTGTCGCAGAACATTAAAAACCTTGTAAGTACACTGCAACAGCCTTTTTTTCTGTACACTGTAAAACTGTAAACACCTGTTTAGCAGCAACAGCCTCATCTGTTTCTCTAGTCTTTTTTTCCCCCTGTATGAAATGTGGAAAGTCTCCAGAAGCAAAACTTACCATGTGTGGATATTTCTCCGGGTCTGTGACGCTGATGTCTGTGAGCTTAATGTTCAGGTACTGAAACACGCAAGCAGAGGACAGCGATGTGAAAACGGCATTTTAGTGAGCAATCATGCAGAAATTTAAAAACTGAACAGCTTCCGTTTGAAAACAAATGAATTATTTCCAACCTGGTCAACAGAATGAAGCGTTCCACAGATGCTGAGGAGAGAAACACACATTCATGAACATGACTCTGTTCACAGATACAAACCAAAATTGCTTAATTAATCTTTAGATTATGAGGCTTGGGAACAGCTCATTGGTATTTGGGTGGAATTTACAGTCAGGTGTGCCCAGGTGAAGCAAACACGACTTCTGAGGTTTTCTTTCTGACCTCAGGATTTCCATGCCAGTTATTGATTAATTTATGGGTATTTAAACATTTATTTCCACAGGTCTGGGTGGTGAAACAATAAGAATTATCACCAAAATATAATATTTTTAATACATCTATGTTTTGCCCACATCTTCAGTAATTTGCACATATTTTAGAAGCTGTACTGGAAACGACAGGCAGCAGCACAAACCTGTTGTTTCATTTTAAAACCGTCACTACTGACAGGCATCAGGACCCTGCTCCAGAGTTTAACCCCGAGAAGGGAACCGTTTCTGTTTAAGAAAGTCTCATTGTAGTTTGTTCGATCTACTCCGTCTATGAAAGAAAGCTCTGATACCACCACTGCAACACGGAAACAAAGCAGACAGGTTTGTGACCCGGATCTCACAAAACATTTTATTCTGCTTCACTTTTATCCGACATACAGAAGTTGAAGTAATGTTAAAACAAATGTAATTATGCGGCTGTGACCTGACAGGCTGCAACCTGGATTCAAATTCTTGCTTTAAGCTACATTTAGTCCAGTTTCAATCCTGTTTGAAGTCACTTCAGATTTTATTCAGAAAAAAAATCCACATCATCTCCAACAAGAAGTCAACCACAGCAATCATTTCATCAGTCATCAGTGGTCATCAGTGTGACCAGTTACAAGAAATAAAACGTTCTGTGTTTAAGTCGACAGTTTCATGCAGATTAGTTCCATTTAAGCAGTGACAGCTACGGTAATACGTAATAAATATTTCAGTGCTGAAATCATAATGAAGACTCAGAGCCCACTGATCGCTGTCTAAGGCCTTTCACTGATTACTGATTGCAGAAGTGCATAACATAACGAACTAACCTGGAACTCTAACCTCACAAACTGAACAACCACAGAGTAAAACACACAGGAAATGTTGTTAGCTTGACTTTCTGAGAATGTGTATGACTGAGAGTGAGCTGTTTGTGTTGGATTATTCTTGCAGAACTCAATAAAACGGAACTAAAGCTGAGAAGTATTGAAAACTGCTACAATGAAATGAAAACTAATAAAAAAAAAAAAAATCAATATTCAAATTGTGACTGTAGGAGCGCTGCTGCGACTATCAACGAAGCTCCAAACAGCAATCGCCGACCAAACAACAAGGCCGGAAAACAGGAGGTTATGTGAGCGAATTGAACACAAATACTAACCTCAGGTCATTTTTGAGCTCCACCACGACGTCCTTCCCCACCAGCGACTTGAAAAACGAGTAAAAAAGCTGCGGAGCAGAAACACATGCTAACGTTAGCTGCACGGTTAGCGTGGCGGCGAGTTGTTTTTTTTTTTTTTTTTAAAGCTGACAGAATAAAGGTTACAGAGAAACACCGAGGTGTGCTCGGGTCAGAGGCTCTCTCCTGCCGCACCTATCTGCTATAAACTCTACAGAAAAGTCATAATTTCATCGTGATTCCTTACCATTCTTACTTCTGCCTTTTCCTAGCGGCGCGTCGCCTGTCGATGACGTAACAAACCCTTAATATTCCTCAGACACACCAGGGTGTAATTACTAAAGTTCGCCACAAAGAGGCGACAGAGCTAAGCTCAACGTTCATGCATGGGAAACGTTGCTTGCACCGTTGTTTATCTAATTGACTTAATTTTATTGCGATTTCCCCAAACAATAAATAAATAAATAAAAACTTCATATGAAAATATATTTCAGTTAAATAAAATAAAATATAATTTAAAGAGACTATAATTTAAAAAAGCTTAACACTGTCAGCTGACATTAAACAAAATGCTTATGGAAAATACAAACTCTTCCTTTCTGGTGCAACCAAAGAATAAATAAATATATGTTGGAAGTTTATAATTAATGCATCCAAAGTTTCAAATGACATCTTCTAGGAGAGGGTGTGGGTCCTTAATTTAAAAAAACAACAACAAAAAAACCACAAACTTAATAAAAGGTATATATATATATATATATATATAGTCACTGTAATTACATTTCTGTAATTATGAATTTGTCTGTAATTTGTTTTTTCAGAATTTATTTGTATTTTTCTTTGAACTTTGTCATTTTGGGATTTTTGTTTTCAACTACAGACAGTTACTGTATAACATGAAAGGTAAGGAAAACCATGATAGGGCCTTCTAGTTCTCAAATACTCAGGGTGGAAAACACAGCAACCGCTGGTGTTATTTCAGTCATATTTTAAAGTCAACATATGTGTAAAATATTTGCAGTGGAGTACATTCACACACTTGGACTTCATCAGAGACTTTGCTCTTCTCTCCTCAGCCAGTTCCAAAAGAGTTACCAACTAAACCATCAGAACTGGCTAGGCTGTTAGCCTCAACATCTACACCAAGAAAACACAGCCAATGTACACCAACGCATGTCTTCAACCATGTCTATAACTATTGGTGACTATTCCCCAAATATGCAGCATCTTCCAGCCAAACAAATACTCAAACATGGAGCTGCATAGAAGAACTGGGGTGTGTAAACATGTGTCATGAAATAAAGATGAGGAGTTTTAAGGTGGGTAGAACCTGTAGTAAGCATGACCCTTTGATGGAAAGAGGAAGAAAGGCTGACCAGAGATGAGTGTGCTGGCTGAGCTACAATAGCTGGGTCTCTCATGGGAACAGGAGCAAAGGCAGAGGCACAAAAGCGAGATGGGTGGAGGTTACAGGCTGCAGCCTTACGACAATGAAGAGGCGTAGTAGTAGAAGCAGTTTGAAGTGAAAGTGCACATCAGGAACTGTGCCACCTCACCTTTTTAGTCACAGCTGATTAAAGAGAAAATGTAGATGTATTTCCAATAACACCAAGCCAGAAAGTCCCCTTGAATAAATTGCAAGTCTCAGACTGCCTGCAGTTCCTTTAGGGACCAGCAGATGGAGGCAAATCACTGCAGTGTGACCGGTCTGGTCCTCGCAGCAGATTGTAGCGGCCTACACTCCAAGTTTTAAAAGCAGTCATTTGTGACGTGACATAAAACACACACACAACATGTAATTCAAGCTTTAATATTAGAATTCATTGGAGCATCATTTGCACATATTAAAGGCAAACATGTCTGTGCAAGATAATACTGTGCGGTAAACATTCATCAGCTACTGTATAGTGTAAAAACTCCAAATGAAATGTAACAGTTAATTTAGAAGCAGGTTTCAGGTTCAAACTTACGTTCCAATGCGAGCTTTGCAGAAATCCAAGAAACTAAAAAATGAGTTTACATACATTTGAAGGCTGAGTTAGACACTGGTACACCCATTTAATGTCTAACTAGCACTCAGATAAGTAGATAACTAAGCTAACTACAAGCCAGTTAGCTTAGCTTAGCATAAAGACTGGAAATAAAGGGGAACTGCTTGTCTAACTTACAAGGTGAGTTTTTGAGGATGTCAGGCAGATGAATTTTTTAGACCTTTGGACAGGTGCAAAGCTAAGCGAACTGACTTCTCTATAATGACAGCACAGATATGTGATTGTCCTCTAAAATGAGAGACAAGGGTTTTTAAAAATATTTCCAGAAATGCAGCCAGGAAGCTGTACCTCTCAGTCTCACTTCACAGGGCGACCCGTCTTGGAAACGTCTGGATGCACAAAAAAAGACAAAGAGATGTCATTTAGTGTATTATAGTTGTCTGGAAACCTGAGTAGGTTCCTAGCTGTCTTTGCGAGACTCACCAGGTCTTCCTGGTGGTCTGTGTTTGCTGGTGAGCTCTGAGGTGTCTCTGTAGTCTCTTGGTTTGGGGGTCTGGGGCTCCGGCACACCCGGTCGGGACTTAGCAGGCAAAGGAGGGCGGCTTAGGCCCATCCCGCCTTCTGAGCGTGAGGGCACCACTGGTTTCTTTTGTGATGGGGGATGCAGGCTGACTGGTGTTGGAGGCTGAGGTTTGTTCTCAGAGCAGGTGAAGGAGCGGTTGCGTGGGGTGGGCACCGGAGGGCGATCGGTATCTCCGTCTGCTGTTTTGGAGGATCCAAATAGCACATCTGGGGGTATGAGAAGGTCCTTCTGTTGTTGGTCTTGGTCTTTAGACCGACCATGTGATTTGGTCACTGAACCATACAACGGGTTGTCAAACATCTCTGACGTCTTTCCGTTCTCACCCCTGTCAGAGAAATCATAAGTTAATGACATCGGTTTCCCTTTCTATAGAATCAGATCAGATAAAGGTTTAGAGGTATTTTTAGAAATGAAACTGAAGTCTCTTCAAACCAGAAAGAGGCTAACACTTACACAGAAGCAGGCTTTCCCGTGGGGCTGCGTGTACTCCCATCGTAACCCTTCTTTGGCTCTTTTCCGGCTTGTCCACCACAGGGAACATTTCGCGGTGGCATGCTGTAACTCCAGCCTTTATCTATCACATTCCCACCTCTGAATGACACTCCCATGTAATTGGGGTTCGAAATATCATGTGGTTGGTTGCTACAAGACCTGTTAACCAGAAAAAAGAAGAAGAAAAAAAAGAAAAATCACACCCTGAGTAGTTTTGATGGTCCAAACCAGCAATCAAAATTAATCAGGCAACAGAAAAACTTGAATCGCAGTCTCATAGCTGCGATTTATGCCACCAGCATGACAGTGGATTATCTTGCTTTTCTTAACTTCGATTCACCTTCTCTCCAGAGCACACTCGGTCTCTCCAGCATCTCTTCCACCTGCTCCCAGCTCTCAATAAAGATCACAGTCTTATCTGCAAATATCACGTACACAACGACCGCCTGACCTCATCTGTCAGCCTCTCCATCAGCACCGCAAACAAGAAGGGGCTCAGAGCCGATCTCTGATGTAATCCCACCCCCACCATGAGCCCATCAGTACCACAGTTCCTGTCTTGGCACCCTATCATCAGCCTATCATATTCTCTGATCCGCAAAGGCACAGTGCAGCTCGCCCTGACCTTCCCATCCACACTTCTCCATCAACATCTTAAAACAAACATCCCATCTGTAGAGCTCTTTCTCAGCATGAAGCTGCTGTTGCTCACTGATCATCGCCTCTTTTCTTAACTAGCTTCAACAACTTTCTCCCTTATCTTCATGGTATGGCACATCATCTTTACCCCCCTGTAGTTAGAGCTCTGCACGTCACCCTTGTTCTTGAAAATTGGTGCTGGTTAACCTCTTCTCCCTTCCTCGGTCATTCTCTCACTTTGCAGGATGATGGGAAACAATCTGGCGAGAAAGTCCCCTGCCCTCCACCTTCATACCTCCACAGCTATGTCATCAGGACCAAATGGATTTCTTTCTGCTTCATAGCTGCTCTCACTAATGCTCTGCACTTCTTATATTAACCAACTTTGATCCATCTGCCCTCCTCTCTCTCATTTTTCACAACAATCAGCTCCTTCCATCTTCTCAACACACTATTTTCATCTGTTAGTATATTTCCATCTCTATCCTTAATCTCCTAATCTGCCTCACCTCCTTTCCTGCTCATTTTCTCTGCCTAGCCAATTTATACAAGTCCTTTTGTCCTTTCTTCACGTCCAGACTCACACACACTCACTATAAACCTTTGCCACCTTTCTCTCCCTTCTTATACTCCCGCTGACTTTCTTCATCTCCCTGACTTCACAACATTTTTTCTTTGCTAACCTCTTCAGTTGAATACTTTCCCGTACATCCTCATTCCACCACCAGGTCTCCTAGTCCACTTTCTTCTATCCAAAGGATACGTCCAACACCTTCCTGGAAGTTTCGATCACTACTTCTTCATTACTCTACTTTTCCAGTCATTTGTAACCCTTCCCTACCACCCAGAGCCTGTCTCAACTCCAGCCTGAACTCTACGCATCATTCTTTCTTCTTCAACTTCCACCATTTAATCCCTAGCCCTGTCTTCACTTATTCCCTCTTCTTGATTTCCAAAGTCATCCTACAGCCACCCATCAGATGCTTGTGAGAAAACAGCAATATATGATGTCCCGTATATTGCAAAGATTCAAAAGTATTAAAAATGGATCAACTTCCGTGCAACAGGCTCATCTGTGTCACAAAACTTTCTCCCACAGTCACATTTTAACACTTATAAGTGTGGTTTATGGCTGTAAATTAAATTTAAACTCCGGTGTGCACATGTTCCATACATTGATCAAACATTTTCAGGTTCTGAAGAGGTTTTTCAAACTCTTTGAATGACTTTAATCACAGAGGACGATCATAAGCTACACAAAAATGTTGACCATATTAGACCTATCCCACAGGGTGATTAGAGAAATTAACCATATTACACTTTTTGAAGCTTTCTCCAGAGTTCCTCTATGTCAAAGAAAGACATCAAACTGGTGATGCTCCAAGTCAGATACAGAAAAAAAAAATCTGTGCTGAATAAAACTTTGACTTCTTGCCAGTGTGTGTAAAACTCATTTGTTTGCAGAGGTTAAATATATTTTTCAGCCATAGCACATCCCCTGTTCTTATGAAGTTATGATGGGTTAAAAATGCTGGAAAAATCTTCACAGCAAAAAGGTACATTTCTGCGTGACTTCATTCAATAAATTGAAGTTATTTTCCTGAAATAAAACAACCGATTTTGAGGGTGAGAATGTTTCTCGGATGTGGTTGATTTTATACGTAACGAGCCATGACAGAACAGGAAGGAATGCATAACAGGTTCACAAAAAAAACCCCAAATCTTACTTATTGAGGTCTCCAGATTTGCCTTTTGAGGCGATGGGGTCATCCCTTTCAATTTTGATGAAATCTGAAAAAAGAACCAAAATGAGAATAAAGCTTCAAGAACCGAAGAAGAAAAAAATCGAACAAATACGTCCTGCGTCGAAGCTCAGCCTCACCGTATAGCTTCTCAGTGGGCTTGCCCTCAGAGGTGCGTAGCTGGATGCCACCTGTCAGTGTTCCCGTCTTCTCCCCGTGATGAGTCAGTGTGATCTGAAACTCGGTGTAGCTGATCTCAGCGGCTCGCAGCGCGACACAGCCCTCTCCTTTAGGGATAACACACCAGCAAACTGTAAGCGCTGCTGAGCCCACCACATCCAAATTACAAGCTGTAATGCGAGCTCATTACCGTACGACTCGTCGCTGTCCGTCGACTTCACGCATATCAGGATGTGCTGGTCCAGAAGGTACTCGGGGTCAGAGATGATAGGGGTCAGCTTTAAAAGACAGAAACAATGACTATGAATAACAACTGACTGATGCCATAACTAAATAGTGTGTTCTGTGAGCTGTGTCTGTGGTTTACCTCTACTTGGTTGCCAAACCAAACTTTTATAGACCCATCGGAGTGCTCGCTGTTCTCTCCCTCTGTAGTCTTTACAGTTTCTGTTGGAAATGCTTGCTTTTAGTCATTGTAGCCCGTTTGATGAGACACTTCACCCAATATTCATGCATACATACATGCATGCTCTGGCCTGCAGTGCTGTTTATTTATATTGATAGTTTTTGGTGCAACCTTTTTCCTTTTTTTTGAGAAGTCTACTGCAAAGATCTTGGCTGTGCATGATGTCAGTAAGAGTAGATAACATATAATCTCAGGCACAGCGAGGGTGGACTTCAAGGTTAAAACAGTTCATTTCAAGCATGAATAAAATATAAATAAATAAATAAAATTGTAAAAAATTAAAAGATTATTTTGCATTGTGAACAATGCAAAGCTCCTCTAGTAGAGTCCCAGAATAAGAGCATGGAACTGGAGAAGAGAGGAATTGGTCTACTTTAAATAGAGTAAGCAGTTTAATGTAGGAAGTATTTTCTCTCTAGTGTCTACACACATCAACCAGAAGAAGTGTGCAGCTAGCTGACACGGCAGTATTAATGTTTACATCCTGTCACACTGTGAGCAGCGGCTTCTCGTCACGGGTAGGTGCACACCGATTTCTGCACAGTGGTACTATGAGTGGGTGTAGCTCACCAAAGAGAAAACAACTCCCAGAATTTTCTCACAGCCAGGCTTGTGGGGGATTTTTGAGTAATAAATCTGTAAAAAATTTTTACAGATTTGAGTGTTTAGTGTTTGCTTTTTCAATTTTTTGTTCCTTTGAGTGCCATCGGTGTCCATTGCATTCTGACTTTGACTCATAGACAGCACTTACAGTCCAGAGGAAGCTTGATTTTTATGTGATTTTGAGGCGAACTGTTCCTTTAAAGCAGAATCTAGTGAGATGTGGTCAATCAGAAAGAGGAAACCTACTCTCCAAGCAACTGGAATGGAATTCGATGAAGAACTTGGTCTTCGATTTTGTCGACAAGATGGCCACACAGTTCATGATCTGAATTCCACCAGGAGGCGCACTGCTGGGATCTGAAAAATAAAAGCGGCATCAGACTGCGGCTATTGAGCGGACTCATCTGTGGCGTAGGTTGGGTGGGGGGGTCATACCTTGTTTGGAAACGTACTGCGAGGCAACTCCAACTTCAAATGAGGCGAACACTGGGGAGTGGTCACTTGTCATGATGTTATTAGTGCACCCTGCAAGTTCACATGAACACTTATAAACACTTCTGTGCATATTTTACACATATTTAGCCTGAAAGGACGTCTCAGCTGCAGTTTCACTTCAATCTTTGGACACTTTTGCGTTCAAGGTTTTTTTTTCTTATTTTCTAAGTGCGAAACAAAACGTGAAAACAAAAGAAGAAGAGCGCGAGGGCCACAGAGAATGAACATTAGACCAGTGGAAATCTGACTCTGATCAGTCAAAAATCAGAGGTTCTGAGAGATGCAGAGGAAGTAAATAGATGTTAATCTGCATTGTTCTACCTCAAAATATGGAGGAAAGGGTGTAGTTTGATGGTGGGACCATTCGTTTTTCAGTTGGACACAGAGTCCACATTCTGTAAGGAGGAGTGCTGCATCAAATGTACTGTGCTGGTTTGAGCTTAGAGTGAAACAAAAACAGCTAACAAAAGGTCAGTGTGTGTGTG